CAGTTCAGTATTTTAATTTTAAACAGGTTTTCTATACCTGCGTGTCAGTAAACAGTTGTCATCTCAAAACTAAAAACTAAAACTAAATCTAACAGCGATTTTTGTCTGAAATTATCAATTATATTTATGACATTTGTTCTTAATTGTAATTGTTCAGTGCATAGGTTGTGCCTTCCACTAAGAAAGCTTATCTAGGGACCAACCCCCTAGTCTATACACCTACTGTCCTTCCCGTTGCACTCGTCAGCTCGTGCGATACTCTAGACACACATGGGTGGTCGTATCCGGGTCCTCCCCTGGGTAGGCTCGTGTCCGTCCAGGTTATGGTACATTAACTTATATCTATGCATGGTAATTATATTAAGGTGAGTTATCCTTTTGATTATAAATGTCGATAATGCTGAAACTATATGAATGTTAGTGATCATTATTAGGTGTGTGCTGCAATGGAGTAGTAATTGAAGGAAATGAGGTTCTGATGTGAAGTACACTGGAGTCGCTTTTTACGCGGTTTTTTTACACGGTTTTTTTACGCGGTTTTTTTTACGCGAATTTTGGAATTTACACGGTTTTTATTTTTTACGCGGATTTCGGAATTTACGCGGTTTTTTTAACGCGGATTTTGGTTTTTTTACGCGGATTTCAGAATTAACGCGGTATATCGTTATACACTAGAGTCGCTTTTTACGCGGTTTTTTTACGCGGATTTCGGAATTTACGCGGTTTTTTTACGCGGGACGTATCACCCGCGTAAAAAGCGACTCCAATGTATAGGTAATTCTAAAATAGGTAAATCAATTAATCATTAGCTGCTAACAGTTACTAATAAATGGGTACGATAAATCACTCATCAATGAGTATTGCCACTCCCACTGAAAAATGGGCAAAACTTTAATCATAAATGGATATTCGATTCCTACCGTGTATTTAAAGTAAAGTTAGGATCTTATTAAGCAAGCACACACCTTTTACGATTCTTATCCTACTTACGGTTTCCTGCACATACGACTTTTCCTAGATACAAGCTTCGTCCAGTATACATTGGCTGTCTCCAACCGGCATGGTCCTTTCTGTCTGCTTCCTCTTGCCGGTGCAAGTTTAATTCTTCTTTTCTTGTTCGAATTTTCTCGCTACTTTTCTCCTATTGAACTTCTGGTCGTGTTCCCATTTGTCCTCAGGCAGTTAATATTAGTACATGATAGGAAGAAAGAAAGAAATAGAACAAGTTAAGTGGGAGCCGCATGCATTGGTTACTTATTTGGGTCATGGTGTTGTCTTCCCTATTTATTTGCCTCTATTCGCTCTCATATCGCAACGTTTAACTCACCCCCTTCCCTCACACTATTATGGTCGGAAAAGAGAACCCATATTTAGTAATCTATCGCGAACTGCGATGCAGAAGATATTAATAGCAAACTAATCTGGAACTGGTCTAAGACATATAACCCAGTGAGTATTGACACATCACACTGTTGTGAATGAGCACGGACGCGAGATTTACTAGAGTATTAAATGCAAAACACAAATTCAAAATAAAACTTGACAAGACATCGTCAATCCCCTTATTCTTGGGCAGGGTCTGACGATGTGAATCTGATTTTGATCAGTTAACGGGCCCCATATGGTACATTTTCTCACTATGAACCTGTCATTTCCAGCCTATCTGAACTATTTAATAAATGGAAACCATAACATGGGTTACGCTTCCCCTAAGCGGGCCCTCCGCATCCTATCTCTGTCTTATCTCAAATGCCAATGGTTTGAATGTATCAATATATACATTGGAAATGACGTTCAATCAAATAAACCCATACCCCACTCACTTGGCCAGGCTTCAGAATCGTCCAGTGGGCAGTGCGCTCTACACTCCAATTTCCTTTTTTTTTTTTTAATTCTTTATTTAAGAGATTTTTAGCCTTAGGCTAGTTCATCTCTAAAACTCTCCAAGTTCCCTTTCTTTCAAATTCACCCCAAATTTGATATTTTACCCCTTTGAGTGTGGATTAATCACAATGAAACATTGTGACAGAGCACGGACTTGAGGTTACTAGAGTATTAAATAATCTAGGTTCTATTTAGGATTATATCTGAAACATCCAAATCTGGCCAACGCCCACCAATTATATTTATAGACATTAATTTGTTCTTAAGTCTCAATATTCGAAATTATATGTACCTCGGTAGGCAGCTTCAAAATCATCTTCAGAACTTTGTTCTGAATCCTTTGAAGTGCTGTTTTTATGCTAGTGCAACAACTTCACCATATTGGCACAGCGCAGCGTAAAGCATGGCCGGTCTAAACATTTGTTTAAATATTAGAAGTTTATTCTTCAGGCAAAGTTTAGATTTGCTTTTATAAGAGGATTCAAACATGTTATATGTATAATACATTTAGCTTGAATGCCCTATGGGACTGTAGTATACCATTCTCACATAGCTGCTACTATAGTTTTCAAAAGGGAAGCTTTAGGCTTATTACAAAGCCATAGGATGAGTTTTGGAAGCGTTGGGAGAAATCTTCCAGTTTTGTAAATATGAAGAGGAAACATCTTAACTTTTTTGCAGTCTGCCCCTGAGTCTGCCGCAATTAATACAAAGACTTCTTCCTTTAACGGAAATGCCTGTCATCGACCCATTTCCACCACCCTGCAGTCCACTGTCGAAAAGGAATTGGCTACCTCAGACCGAACAGTCGGCAAGTTCATTAAAGCTAAAATAAGTGCGGAATCCCTACCTTTCCTTTGGAATTTCGGATCAAAGAAAAACTTGAAAATAACTAATAGTTTTTTTTTAGTTCGTCGTGTACTTTTGCCGTTGCAAAACCAGCTGTACAAGTAGTATAAAACACATCCATTAAGAGCATTTCATACAAAAGATGCTTAAATAGACTATTTTCCAAAATATTTGCTTAGTTACAGTACTTAAAATCGAATATCCTTTCATAAGAAAATAACAATCTGGTGTAAAAAAGGAGAAAAAAAACTACATATTTCACGATCAGTTTTTACAATAGTGTTGATGCTATAAGATAATAAAGAACAATTCTAACCGGCTTCAATCGGTATTAATCTTAAAACTGATAACCCCGAGGATAAAACGGTGAAGCTCGTATTTGTTGAGAAACATTGAGAAAATTGGTTGGGACACTACTGAGCACCTACATAAATCAGAGTTTCATCATTTTTTATCATCGTGATTATCAGTGTTATAGCGTTAAAAACGAACCTAAAGAACTAAAGACTCGCATTTAAATAGGAAATAAAGAATAAACAGAAATGTACCTACAAAACAAATAAAAAATAAACAGCGCTCTAACCCTTAGTACGCCTATGTGGTTTTGCTTCTCCTAAATGTATTCCTATAGCTTTTTTGTGTTAATATTGCGGGCACCATTATAGATATAATTCTCACTTTGAAGCATGTGTGTATATATAATCGATATCTGTCTAAACTTTTTCTTCACTATATCAATCACTTATAAAGGGAACAAACAGAAAAATACACTTACAGAATCTTCTGTAGGTTCGCTTTTATCTGATCTGATTATCGGTGTCGATAGTGCTATCGACAGTTTGTTTTCTCGTTCAGGGCATTGTTTGTTGCTCGCATTGTATTTACCCACAACTCGATCGTGTGTGGTGGTTGTTGTTGCAAAAATTAAATATGAGTAACGGCGTTGAAGTTAAACACACTATAAGGCATTGAGCATGGTACAGGAAACCCGTTGCTGGGCGACATTGTTAAATTGGCTAAAGTGCTGGATGCGGATCCTGCTCAGATAGAAACTATCTACAGAATAGCTGAGGAAAAATCCATGTTTATAAAGTGTAAGACCGAAGAAGCGATGCTCCATGCATTGCTGCACAACACTGAGCAATTAATTTTCCGTTATGATGATGTAAAGACAGTCGAGGTACGCATGTCGAATGCGGGAGAATACGTTCAATATGTGCGTCACCTAAAGTTCCTGACAAAAATCAAGCGTTGGTTCTGGGGAAATACGTTAAAGTTAAACAAACAAATTCCACCAGAGCAGGGCTTCGATGCTTACACTGGGGTACGTGGATGTGAAAATGTAAATTCCTATATCGCTTCATTTTCTCAATCGGAAGGGGAATGTATTCTATGAAGGGAACAAGAACATTGGTTTTGTTTGCAAGACGAAAGGGCAGCCAGAGAAGCAATAACTGGGCAAAGAACGGAAGCAGGATTTGTAGCCGTAGGTGCCACAGGGGACGCGAGTGAGGTGCTAGACGAATAAGACGTGATTGCAATCGACGAGACGACCCGGGATATTCATTAAAACAACAAAAAAGAAGAATCAGGGTCAGCAGTAATTCGAAGGCCGGAAAGACCCGATTACTACTTGTTTGCAAAGAAATTGTTTAATGAACAACAGCATATTGTTTAAGAGACTAAAACAGAAGAATGAAGAAAATTACGGGCGCGGGAAGAACAAGCAGCAAGCAGTCGCTTCCCAGGAAAAAATAAACTCATTCATGATCCTCCCATTTTCTTTGTGGATTAAAAAACTGTTTATTTAATCGACTCCGTAAAGCTAACGCAATTAAGCCAAATAAAGGATTGGAAAACAAAAATCTCCTGTAAGAATCGACTATTGCACGTATATGTGTGTGTAATTTAAAAAAAAAACATGATTTGAACAATAAAAGAAAACCATTGTAAATTATTTCGGTTATTTCGGTAGAATTTGTACAACTTTATCGGAAACATTAGAAAAAAAGGACAGACTGATATAAACTGTGAGTGTGTGTGTGTGTGGGTGTGTGTGTGTACGATCACCATGTTGTTTAATCTAGACACCCCACATTGTAAATATAGAACTCAGCAGCATATTGTGTATGTGTGTTTTCTGCTTCTAAACCACTTTGTAAGTGCTACGAAGCATTGTTCTCCATTCGAAATTCCCTACCGGTACTTCGAGGAACGCTTTTGAAGCGAGACACCTTTTGCTGCTGGCTTGTTTTGTTCTAGTAAACTTTGTTTCGTATTTATCGTAACTTTTAAGAAGCGTTGACTATTGATTGCGAAGCTACCAGTATTTGTTGCAGTGGGATTCTTTCACTTTGCCTGAAAATGAACCAAAACAATAGGTATGAGAATGGTAATGGCTACGGTATAACATACATACTCCTAACTCCTTAAAAATACACTCTTTCTAGGATAAATTAGGGCTGAATTTACGTGTGATTTCAACGTGAAATATTCAGTGAGCATGTTGTAAAATTTACTTTTCTGACGTTTTCAAGCTTGTTATCTTTATTTTAGGCCCCAGCAAAAATATGATCGTTGATTGTTATCTTTCTTTTCCAAAATATCGATATGACGTAGATAATTTATCGATACTGGGTTAAAAGATATCGCAAATCGTATCGAAAAATATGACCTGATAATATCAATATTACCGATAATATCGATATTTGCTTAACCCTAATAGCTATACGTTCATATAATATTTTATTCCTTTATTAGAGAGACTTTCAGCCGCGTTCCTATAATGGTGTGTTCCAATTACGGCATATGGGAATTCCATAGACCATAATTGGAACACACCATTATAGGAACGTATAAACATGACTGGTACAACTGCCCTATTTTCTAAAAATATTAGATTCTGATTTCAAATCAAAATTTTAAATACTAGAACTTGAATTTTGCATGGTCATGTTTAAAATGAGGAAAAATCTTCAAAATAATCATTTTATATTAAATTCTGATAAATTTCTGATTTGCAGATGTTTCTAAAGTCCGGACTAAGGAACTGCTCTGCGATTATGGATTGTACTTCGTTCAGGCTAATGTATTACCTGACTCATAACGAATGTACGTTGTATCCATGAACTCGTTTAATTTTGTATTGCAAATGCCATCTTAAATTAAACGAAGGGTACGTTGTACCCGGGGCCCGCAGGCACAACGAATATTTGTTATAAGTCAGGTAACACAGCAGTGGCATTCTGATTAGTTCAATTCGGCTACTGTTACATTCAAGCTAATGCCATTGGGGCTACTTAAGTGTTATACAACCGGGTAAATTTCGAGCTACTTACCAAGCAAATCACCATACACAGAAGCTTTCCCTTGTTCACTTTCTATCTGTAACAAACACAGCTGCTGTGTTATCGTTAAATCCTGCCGCTAAGCTTATCTTATGCTTATGGAACGACAGGCAGGACGTCACCCCTTTCTTCGTCCCCATGAATCCTTCATTGCACCGGATGGTGTTCAGATTGGTACCATCCAAACCGTAGACGGTAATGATGGTCGTGGCACATGCCACAATGTCAGCACTCGAATGAATGCTCATTGCTGAAACATCCGATCCTGCATTCCAGTGCTGCACCGATGAAGACGTTTTTCGAATATCGTACAACCGAACCGTGGAGGTGGTACATGCCGACACCAGACTTTCACAATCGTCCCGTAAACAAACTGTCAGAATTGGATTCAAATGTTCCCGGAATGTGGCAATCCGTGCTTCCGCCGGTGTACACCGTCGATCAAATAATCGAACGCTACCATCATTGCAACCAGCCGCGAACATTCCATTCGGTGCACACGACAGTTTTATGATCGCCGTATCCGACCCACTCGGGATATCACAAATTCTGGATTCACGTTCTGCATCCCACAGACGAATGTACTTCGCTTCACCTGCAGCCATGATAGTCTGAGTCTTCTGGTGCCACGCCATCACCAGACCTAACTCGCTCGTGCCCACCTTGGCCGTGGCAGGCGAATTGAAATCGAACAGACCATGCCAAGCAGTCACCAGGGCCGATTCACGGTTCGCATCCGCTGGTCTCCACACGCGGATTACACTGTCACTATAGCCGACTAGCACTAGGCCGACGTCGTGTGCGTTGATAAAATCCAACGAAGACACCGACACCGGTGGAGGGCTCATCTGAAACCGATTCTGATCTAGAAAGATTGACTGATGCTGCTGCGACCGTTGCAGCTTGAACGGAATGAACGAGCTCGTTATATCGTTGCTCCAATCTTGGAGGATAACGCGATCTCTGTTGGAAAGCGATAGAAGAAACTTTATTAGAAGTGTTGCATAAAATAAATTAAAAAAATAAAATCTTTAACATATTTAGTATAACTTTTTGCATGGGTTTTCAACTGTACCCATAATATACAAACCTACAAAGGCGGTAGGGGTCAGATGCGGAAACGCGTGATCGGGTGATAACCAATGTGGGAATGTGCAACCTGAGGATCAAGGGCCGTTTCGTCAACTAAAGCATCATCAACGTACACTGCCCACACAAACCGAGATACAACTTGAGAAGGAAGCTTTATACATGCAGCTGGAGTATCATATAAGTATCACAAAATGAATACATTTTATAAAGGACGGCGAAGCTAGAAAATTTATCTGGAGGGGGCCTTTTTTAAAGTTTGCTAAACTAAGGTTAAATAAAAACTCGCGAAGATACTATGCGTCAAGGCAACTTGATTTTGGGTACATTTTTCTGGGACCAATAATATGACATTGAGGCTTAGTATTATTTTAATGGTGAAACAATAAATTTGATTATATGTATTTCATGACAACGGTTGAGACCTCGATTTGGGGAGCCTTAAAAGCTTACTGATGAGCAGTGTTGGAAAAGATCGCGTAATTTCACGAAGTTCACCAAGGAAAAAGTTCGCGAGTCATACACGAAACGAAAATCAATTATTTTACTCATGTATTTCACTCATACATTTTTGCCAAAACATCAGCCTTATATATTACATAAGACAAACCACATAGGTCCTATAAGAATGCATAAAAAGAGATAAAAAGTATGTGTGACCGCTTATACATTTCATTTGACACATGGTACTCATTAACTTTTTGCAAGGCGTCTGCTTATTACTTGACTTATACATTTTATGAATAATTAGCAATAGAAATTTGCCAAAAGGTATAAGGAGATTTCTATTCGTGTAGTGAGTTTTCGAGAACTTTTCCATCACTGCTGATGAGACTACCGGTACCAGGAACGTCCACCTATTTCGCAACCCTAGGGGAAGTTCTCAAGAACACCTACGACAGTGGGTGCACACCGAGATAGTATATGTGTTCGTCTACGCCGACGACATCCTCATCGTCACCACAGGACCCACGCCAGTACGTACAAGGATGAGAGCCCAAACGGCAGTCTCCGCCGTTGCCAGGTGGGCCCACTCAGTAGGCTTTGAATTATCAACCTCTAAAAGCATCAGGTGCCATGTCTGCCCTTCTCGACACAGAATTAGCGGACCATCGATCAAAATCGACAACCAGTCCATACCGCTGAAGAAAACCGTCCGAGTTGTGGGAGTTCTCGTTGACCGATTCCTCAACTTTGAACAGCATTTCAGTGCAGTCAAGAAAAATTGCCGCAGCCTGTCTTTCCGCTTCAGTATAACCGCAGCTATCGCAACCAAAGCCACTGCTTTCATCTCGAAGACATCCGGAAATCAAGGAAACACTCCTCCGCACGGCTTCCAACGAAGATCTCCCCCCAGTGGCCAGGGTCTACTGGCATGGAGACAAATGCTGGCAAACACCATTACCGAAAATCGAAAGCCGGATTAAGGACAAGTTCAAAGCCGGAGACAATTCCGTGGCTATGAAAAGGACTGTAGCTGAAATGTTAGGAGAAAATTACCCCACGCACACTCACCGATACACGGACGGATCTCGCTCTCGGGCCGGGGTCGGTATCGGTCTAGCCGGAAACATCACACCAACCAGCTGCAGCTTACCGCCGCAATGCTACCATCTTCATCGCTGCCACAAGGCTCTCCAACCAACCGATCCTGGTCTTCACGGATTCGCACAGCGTCATACAAGCCCTGACATCCGAGGCCCCGACTCATCCCTGGGTACAGGCGACGATGAAGTCCACGCCACCAAACACGGTATTTTGTTGGGTTCCGGAGCACTGCGGAATACCAGGCAACTCTGAAGCTGACTTTCTGGCTGGGGCAGGACCATCTGCTCCTCGCTATACTAACAAAGTACCGTTACACGATGTCAAGCGCTGTATCGTGAGCAAAGTACGGGAAGCTTGGGACGCAGAGTGGGCTCAAAACCGCTCCCTCGTCCACAGACGGATCAAAGGGACGACGAGGAAATGTACAGAACAGTTGAACCAGCGGGATCAGAAGATAGCGTCGCGTTTGAGGACCGGTCACACCAAGATCTCGCACAATTTCGGTAGAACGCCGTTCCACAGGACTTGCGTCGGTTGTAGAACTCCAGCCTCAATCGAGCACATTCTATGCGTATGCCCTCAGTATCAGAACCTGCGAGAATTCCACGGGCTTCCAAATAGCATACGCGACATTCTGGGTGATGATCCCTCCAGACTGGCAGCAGTAATGCGTTTTTTAAAGGATGCTGCATTGTATTTTAAAGTTTGTTCTTTTTTAATTCCTTTCGGCTGTTGGGACATGTCTGCCTGTTAGGGGCCCTCCCGGTAACCCCCGGTCTTATTCAGATTTTAATGTTGTGTCTTTAATATGTTGTGTAAATGTACGATCGAGCCAGGAACCAATTTTCGGTTGAAATAAACACTGTAAAAAACTACTCTGTTGGGGGTCCTCTTTCTGAGGCCCCACTTTTCATGGACGAGATGAACTAGCCTACGACTAAAAATCTCAAAAATAAAGTCTAAAAAAAAACCTTACTGATGTTGAATGATGCTTTGTAATGCTTTTTGTAATGAAATCACTCGTTGAAATGTGTGCCGGAAATTCAGCTACTGGAGTGCTAAATCACCAAGGCATGGGCCTTACCTATATATAATATACAAACATGTCCATAAAATCTAGATTCATCATTCAAGATTCCATCAGATACAGTCTTGAAAAAACATTCAATTTTTAAACAGTTGGAGATCCTCAAAACTTGATCAAAAAATTCCAGAGAACTTTACTAATATCTTCGTCTATAGAATATTTTCTGCTGTCTAGGAAGGATGTCCGAAAGATTATCCTATAACTTATGTAACGAATCATGAACATCAACAGAACTCCCTTAAGTTTTACAAAATTTCCTGAGTTTATTCCAAATTCCATATTTTTCCAATCGCTCTTAATTCTACGAATATCTCTGAATATCTTTAAACTTATGGAAAGACACCTATTATCTCCAAATATTCTTGAACATGTGGAAAGTTCTTTGAAATTTAACGAAGTGCCCAAAACCTCTAAGAAGTTTATGGAGATTTTTTGAAGTAAGATCTCTGACAAATTGCAACAAAGTTCCCTAAACTGAAGCGAGGATCTCTGAATTTCTTAGAAGTTTATTGAACTATTGTTTGATTTTCTACAAAATTCCCTGGACTTTTTAAAAATTCCTTAATCTTATATGGAGTTTTACCACCGACGAACCGACGTGATAGCATATACAAGCTACTTTCAAATTCCTGCCCAAGACGCCATATTTAAAATACTTTAAACACTACTGACATCTACTCATCCGATTGCGTCATACCATGAGCAAAGACACGAACCCACGTATAATTTATATTGTCTTGGTTTGCGTTTCAGCTCATTTGACAAATTCGATCGCCCGTTTGAACGTTCGAATCGCTCGTTTGACAATTCGAATTGTGGACAACCGTAATGCTCCTGTGGCATGTCGGTTCGTCGGTGGTTTTATACAGCTCATCAAAATGCTACGAAATTCTCAAAACTTCTACAATGTTTGCTGCACTTCTACGTTTCTCGTTGATTTTCCGCGAAGTTCCACGAACAAAATTCCATGAATTTAAAAGTAATTTCTAAATTTTACAACCAACTGTTCCAAGTCCATGAGGCTTCCAAAACGTGCCAAGAAAATTTAATAGCGGTTCCCGATCTATAATGAGCTTCCCTGAAATATAATAATGTCCTACGAAGCTTCTCAAGCTTAAATAAATTTTCCACTTCTATGCAGTTTCCAGAACTTTCCAAAATTCCTTGTTTTTAAGATTGTTTCTGAAGATCTAAATTTCCTCAATTTCTACGATGTTCCCTGAACTTTTTTGAAGTTCTTGAAGTTAATGAAAAATCCCTGGGCTCATGGTCAATTTGTAGAGCCTCAAGACGTCTTATTATGCCTTCGATTAAATATAGATATGATATATTTTCTCAAAATTGCTTCTTCTAGTCCTTTGGTTTGTTTTTTTTCCGTCGATCTTGTTTTCCGTGCTGAGCACCAATGCTACCGACGTGCCAGGAAGGCAGCTCCCACACCTGGACCCTACCTATCGACCCATCAACTCATGAACCGGAGACCAACGGCTTTACTTCCCATCCGAAGGAAGGCGTGATCAGAGATGTTATGCCTCAGAACATCCCGGCGGCGCCGACTGGGATTGAACCCAGGCCTGTTGGGGTGAAAGGTAATCACGCTTACCACTACACCACCGGCGCCGTTACCTGCTTCTTCTAGTCAAGAACATAAGAAAAGGAGTCAACTTATAAGACTTTAAAAAAAAAATCGATGTTTGTGGTTCAATTTTATTAATCACTGTTAAATATTAACATCGAACTTGACAAGCTTGACAAAATACCGGTGAGTTAAAAAAACACACCAAAAATTCTGAGGGGATGGGGGCTAGATAATTCTGGAGGGGCTAGCCCCCTTGGCACCCCCATCAGCTACGCCAATGAATACATTAATCCTATTACTTTCTTAAATGTAACACTTCTACAGGACGATTGTGCTACATTACCCAGAATTTCGTTTCTCCGAACGCCACTACCCCGAATCCCATTAAAACCTACATATATCCCATTTCCCCGCATACCATTTCTCCGAATGCCATTTCTCCGAATGCCATTTCTCCGAATGCCATACCCCAAAAATTTATAGATACCAAGTACATTACCCGAACGCAATTATCCTGAATCCCATTAAAATGTGTATCCTATCATCCCAAATGTACCATCATAACCCCGAAACTTGATACAGATACCAGTTCTTGAATACTTCAACTCTTCAAAGCTCGATTTTGAATGGCTCTTCGACATTTTTCATTTTTCATTTTGC